GAAAATTTTCCTAACTGTCAGGGTAGTTAAGCACTGGAATAAATTAACTAGGGAGGCTGTGGAATCTCCGTCATTGGAGGTTTTATAAGAACAAGTTAGACAAATGCCTGTCAGGTATAGTTTAGTTATTATGTACTCCTGCCTTGAGTGCAGGGGACTGGATTAGATGACTTCTTGAGGTCCCTTCCAGTCCTATGTTTCTATTGTTGGCTCATATTCAATTTATCTTTTTCCAGCAGAACTACTGGCTAGCCAGTTATTCCACAATCTGTAGTTGTGCATTTGATCTTTCCTTCCTAAGTGAAGTACTTTGCACTTGTCTTTACTGAATTTAATCTTATTGATTTTTAGACCAATTCTTCAGTTTATCAAGGTCATTTTGCATTCTTATATCCTGTCTTCCAGAATGCTTGCAACCCTTCCCAGCTTGGTGAATCAAGACTTAACTGGCCCATGCTGACCCTCTAACTACACCCAGGAGCTGGTACCTGTTCCAGATGGTGGCTCGTTAGCCAATTAGCAAAGGAGAAGCTGAGTTCTATAATTCTGCCTGCACAGCATAAATAGGAGGTGGCTCAGGTAGGAAGGGAGATCCCAGGTGTGAGTAAGAAGGAAAGTGCTGTTCCCAGGCAAGGCTTGGGCCTACAAGCTAGGGAGAACCAGTGCTGGCTCCTGTAAGGGAGGAGCTCTGAGTTATGGCTTAGAGGTAAAAGGGAGATCCCTGAAGGAAGATGGTCAAAGCACTAGGGAAGGGAGACAGTAGGGGATGCTTGTTGTCAGGTCTGGGAGGCCAGTTTTTGGGTGCTTTTAGAGAGGCCCAGCAGTTTGGGGCTGGAGAGCTGAACTACAGGAGTAGAGCTGGAAGGCAGTCTGTGGGGTCGTGGTCCAAGAGGGTAACCGAAGAGGCCAATGGAAGCAGGGTAGGCTTCTGGGAGGGAGCCCTGAGTTGGGGCATTCAGGAAAAAGAGGCCAGCAGGGGTAGAGCACCTGTTTGTTGTATTTGGACTTCCAGCAGGGGGAAAGCCAGGGAAGCTGGAACTCCAGCAAGAGTGAGAAAGTACTGAGTTGAGCCCAGGAGGGGTGAAGGACCTTTTGTTTGCCAACTGGGACTCTGAGTATTCAGAAGGGGTTTGAACTATGGGCTTGGCTGGATGGCTGAGGCATGGAAGACCCAGGCAGCCTGCAGGAGGTGCTGGAGCTGAGGATACTGGTGACATTAGACACTGAGGCAAGGGGGCACTCCAAGGATGTATGCTCTATAACAGCCTGATTCAAAGCCCACTGACATCAATGGGAGCCTTTCCTTGGACTTCAGATCGGACCCAGTATCTCAGAAACAGCAGGAGAAAAATGAACTTTCAACACTGTTGTAAGGCCAGTTTTAAATCCGCATTTAGTTAATATAACTCTGACCCTAGGAGCACCTCAGTGCCAGATGGTATGGAGCTCCCTAGTATGGAGCAATGAATTTCAGCTGGTCTGGCCAGCTCAGTGTACCTCGCACACTAAATCCAATGGGGACATTTAATGTCATCAGAAAACTAATAACTCACTGGTCAATATTCTGATATATGTACAATAAACCTGCAAAGAATTATACTAACGTGCTGGAAATTGGTAACTAAAAATGTCTACACCAGGCATATCAGGGGAAGTTGATACAGAGGTTTTTCCAGACAAAGGAAAGGGGCTGACACCTCAAGCCAAGTGTGACAAGGGAAAGTGGACCAGCCATTTGTATCATAGACTGCAAGAAGATCATGTGCCTTGTAAAAGTCACAAGTTGGGGAGGAGCCAGCAGGGGAAAATAACTTTATCTGGGGATACACTTCAAGATTATACACTTCAAATGTTTACTGGACTATAAAGGGGGGGAGAGGAGATCCCCTAAGTTATACTTCACCACAGGAGACAAAGAAAATCAAGCACTTCAGGCTATGTAATTGATCCTCAGCCAGGACTAGCCAGCCATGCTGGAAGAAGGACTATGGTGAGAACTTTTTTGAACAAAAAGACTATAGTTTGTTGCATTTCAGTCTTGATAGCCTATTTTTGCAACCATTTCTATCACTTAAACCTATGTCTATGTTAATGAACTTTTTAGTTTTATATAAACCAACTCAGGGCTATGATTGAAGGGAAGGGTGAGAGAACCCCAGGTAAGTTAACCTGCTGCTGTATACTGCCTTGTTAAAGGAGCAGAAAAATTGATAGCTTTGGGGGTGCTACAATAAGAGGGGACTGAGCACTGCAGAAAGATGTCTCTGGGGAGAACTTGGGGCTGGAAGGGTTGTGGAGGTCCCTCTGCAATGAGTAACTGGGTGGCAGAAGCTGGGTGAGACCTGCATGCTTGTAGGCTGTCTGGGCTGTGAGCCACAGCAACATAACTGTGGGTGCTTTGACAGTTGCAGGGCAGGTGGTGACTGAATGCTTTACTGGCCTGGGTAAATCTCAAAGGGTCCCAATAACCACTTTTAAATTTATCCTTTTTGAAATATTAGGTTGATTTAAAAATGTGGTTAACCAACTTATCTTGCAACAATTTTGAACTAAATATCGTTTCTGATTTTTATACACTACAGATTGTATAATTTTGTTGTGCGCATTTCCTAAATAGCATATTACATATAAGAAAAAATAATTGACATATCAACATTCCTTTTTAAGCATAAAGAAATTTATTTTGCACACAAGTATTTACAGAAAAATGTACTTTTGTTTTGGAAGTTGCTGAAGTTTAATAGATTTCTCCTGAAAGAAAACTTCATATCTTTGCATTATAAAAACATATTGCCTTTGCTATGTGAAAACCTGGTGTTTAATTCTCTGGATTTCTTTATCAGGGCTTTCTTTTGAACTTCGTCAAATCGATTGACTTGGAGGTCCTGGTCTCGGTCAAATGGCCTTCTCTCTTGAGGCTTCTTATCTTCAGTTGCTTTGCTCTTTAATTTTTTATGATGCATATCCATGAGAGATTCTGATCTTTTTGAGTCCTGGAAATAGGGGAAGAAGGAGGGTGAATATTGCAGAATGATGGTGAAATATAGCATAAACAAAAATGACTTAAACTGTGTCAAGAGTCAGGATGGTTGAGGAATTTCAGAAAGACAAGATAAGCTACTGGGCAACATGAAAGTAAATGAAATTCAGTGTAGACGAGTGCCGGGTAACTCAAATTAGAAAAAACACTTTTATATACTGTTTTAGAATGGGGTTCTTACCTCTGAAACTCACTGTAGACAAACGAATATGAAGTTACAGGAAAAAAGTACTAAAGATTGATTTTAATTCAGCAAACAATTAAGCATTTGATTAGTCCACTGAAGTCAACAGGACTACTCACATGCTTGAAGTTAAGTACTGGCTTAGGTGCTTTGCTGAATTAGGGGCTTATGTTGTTTTTCAGAACCTGATGCTGCTGTCATACAAGTCAATGGTAAAACTCCCATTGATTTTTAAACAGGAGCGACATCAGTCCCAAGTAGGGGATGCTGCACCATCCTCTGAGAGCAAAATGTGTATGTCCTGCTATGGCTAGGCAGTTCCTTGGACTCCCATCCCATTGCAAACCTGTGCAAAGGCCTGACACAAACTGGTCTATAAGCAAATCTACTTCTATCTTTGTCTGTATTTTTAATGACATCTACATGATGACAAGCTCTTTGTTAAATTCTATTTTTCCTTCTGCTTATTCCCCAGTTGTAGTCACCATCTTCTGTGATATCAAACTGTTGCTGTGGAAAATCATTAAATCACAGGCCAGAATCATTCCTGGTGTAATTCCACTGACTTTAATAGTTACACCAGAGGATTGATAGTGCCAAGTTATCACTGCAGATGCTGAAAAGAAACCATTTTAAGATATAAAGCACTTTCCAGGAAACTGTCCTTGGTAGGAAATCAATGGAAAAAGGAAGAAAAGCCATTTGAAAATGACCTAAGACTTGTTTTAACGCAGAACATTTTTCAAAACATTCTAAGAGGCATCAACTAACCTTGCACAGTAATAGTATATGCAAGTTTCTCTCTGGTAGGGGAGATAACAGAATACAACTTAAAAAAAACTGCATTTATGTAATGTCCACAACTGAACAAGCAGCAGGAAATAGAGAAAATTCAAGACTGTACACTAATAGCTCTGGATCTGCAAGCCCTATAAATCTAAAAAGATGCATCACCTAACGAACTGCAAATAAATTATTAAGAGTGCCCCATAAACTCAATTCTTCTAATATAAACCAAGGTTGCTTGTTCTCTCAGTTAATTGTTTTCTCTTAGGAGATTTGACTGTCTTCCAGCTGATGGCTGTAAACAAGGGAGAAAAGGAAGGGGCAGCTGTAGGACAGACAATAGCCCACGCTGTGAAACAGCAGTGGGTGGGGGAGGGAAGTGATTGTGAAGCTATGAGGCTCAGATTTTTAATTACCAATATTTGTCCATGAAAACTACAACTGCTTTTGCAGAAACTAAGGAATATTTCCAAGTAAAAATGTTGCCCGAAAGGCAGACAATTATGGTATTGATCTCTTAGGCACATTGAGCCTCCTTTGGATGGTTCTGTATTTTAACCTTTCGATTAAAACTGTAATGCTGTTTTCTTCCAGGGATGCCTGTAATTCAGTGATGTCTTTTACTGTTTGACTTGAAACTGTCTATTCCCAGCAATGGAAGTTTATAGGAATCGTTTAAGTAAAACACGAACTGAAACTCATCTAAGAAAAGGCATATAAAAACCTACACACAGACACTATTTTTCAGCAGCAGCGGGAGGGCCCAATCTTGCTCTTGTTGAAGTCCATGACAAATTCTCTAATGGCTTAAATGGCTGCAGGTTTGGGCCCCAGAAGAGAAGAATATAGTGATATCACCATGGAAACCAACAGTGCTAGGAATGAGAAACCAAAAGAGAGCTAAGAATTAAAGGAAACCTAGAAGAAAAAGCATTTTGTGCTTATACTTGCATTGTATGAAGACAGCTGCTCAGCCAGCCTCTTGTCTCTCGCTGATAATACAATTTCTTCATCACCTTTACTAGTTGACTTCTTTGCTTCTTGCATTTCCTGATGAATGGAAGCAGACTGCAATTATTAGCAGGCAGCATACTTGAAGTAAGTGACAAAGAAATCTATACTTATCTTGCTTAAATATTAGAGGAGCGGGTCAAGATATAGAGCCTTTGTACCTCTGCCCCTCAGGCATTTTTGTTCTGCTTGATAAGAAACAGTAACTGGCTGTTCATTAAATTGATACAGAACAATAGACTTCCCAGGCCATAGCAGACAGATATAATGTTTAATGTAAGAAGGAAAATAACTACTTTTAGGTCTGAAATTTCTGTGTTTGGGAACATGAGAGCACTTTTATTAGGTTATCCCTGAATAGCAGAGGTGAACTCTGAGAAGACTGATAACATATAGACTGTCTGCATGTTTATATGAATGAATAAACGCTCACTTGGGCTTTCCTCTCTCTGTCGGCTGGAGTATCTGTCCAAATTGACTTATCTCCTGATTTCTCATCTGTTCTTCTCTTGAAAGTTCTTGGGCCCAATCCAAAGCCTTTCAATTCTGGTGGAAGCTCAGTCATCCAAGACTCCCTTGAAACTTGCTTGGACCCATCCTTTAAGAAAAAAATCATAGTGGGAATGTTAATAAATAAATTGTGGATTCTTCTAGATAACATTTTATTCAGTGCGACAGTCATTTAGCATCTTCAATACATACAGCTGAGCTTGCTAAAATTCACATCTTTTTAGGCCAAGAAAACATGCACAGTCAAAATTATTAACTTACATCATCTGAAGAAGTAAGTTTTTCTTTCATTCGCTGAGCTCTGCGTTCAAAGTCTCTAGTTACACTGGATTCTACTGGTCCTTTTGCGGGCATTGGACCTATGACAGCATCATCTTCCTCACTACTATCTGTTGCCTTCCAAAAATAAAATAAGACATTATCAACCATAATAGGTCACTACAGAAATATTCTTAGCTATAAACCCAACTGTCTTCTCAAACAGGCCCATGACCAATAATTTCTTTCAATTCATATTAAGAAACAGGTGTATTATAAATACACATTACTTGTATATCCAAGCATTTAAAAGCTGTCCAGTCCCAGCTCTAACTCCCATTGCCCTTAACAGAAACCAAATTATTTCTAATCTCTACACTTCTGAAAGTGTCATCAGTGGTGGTCAATAGAATTCTTGCCAGAGAGACATTAATAATGCACTTTTTTTTGTTTAAGATGTGTAGAATACTTATCAAGATGATATCTTTTGATATTCTGCTCTCTCCTGTAGCTCTAGTGATAAATGATTAACATCAGAAACAAGTGAAGTGTACATGTACAACTCTGATATCATGGGCACCAATATATCCTCCATTACTGCCATCAACATTCTGAATGTATTGCCATAGGTGTGCGTAGCATTTTACATAGCAAGAAAAGAGCTTAGAATCTACACTGATCATAGTAAGACTGGATGTTGGGAGGAGGAGAACAGGAAAGGGAGGGGGTGGAAAGAAGAAAGGAATAAACAGAATATAGTTATGGAATTGCTTCACTGGTACAGCACATGCTGTGCTAGTTCCTAGTTAAGGTTTGGTTTGTGTGGTGTGTGTGCGTGTGTGTGTGTTTTAATTTCCTTTCAACGTTGTTTAAAATGGAATTTCAATTTGAAGGATTGTTGGGAAAGTTAGAACTGAAGAAGGCTGGATGGAGTACAGAATAAAAGGAGACATTCCAGGTCTAGAGTGCTGAATGGGAGATGGCGCAAAAGTCCATCTAAGAAGAACTAAGCTAGGTGGAAATGGAAGGACACAAGTTCTGCGAAAGACTGCCAAGTGACTAGTGATGAGCTGTAGGAAGTGGCAGAGTTGTGCAAAGCCTTGAAAATGAGAATAAGGAGTTTGCCATTGATGTAAAGGTGGGGCCTGTTAAGTGGGATAGATGCATTCAAGTGGCAGAGGAGAGTGGTGGCATCTATTGGTAACCTACAAGGCAACAACAGGGCTGGCACAGCCCAGAGGAGCAAGCTTGAGTGGCGAACAAGCTGGTGGTGGTAGGGAAGTACCAGAGCCACTGTGGGCAAGGTGGCTACTTGCAAGAGGCAGGGGGTAACAACATGATCAATAGTCCTAAGTACCCTGAGAACCATCCCAATGGACAAGGGTGTCTCTCTCTTTCTCTCTTCCCCTTCGCCCCCCCCCCCCCCACGTCAGTAAGAAATCTGTATATTTTGTAAAGCAAGATGTGGCAGGCTTTAGACACACCCTGAACGTTAGAGGAAGGCAAGAGAGTAGGATGACAATAAGGCTGTGGGACCACAAAACTGACAACTGTGGAATTATCTAATATGATGGAGCAAGGAAGAGGAGGGATTTATTTTGGGGGTGAGATAAACTCAGCATGCCAAAACTAAGTTGACAGGTGGGCTTCCAAACAGTAGATGAGAAAGTGGCAGAAAAGAGTGGAGAGGAAAAAACCCACCACCAGACTTCAGTGTAAAAGAAGTTACTCACCTTGTGCAGTAAGGATGGTTCTTCGAGATGTCACTATGGGTGCTCCACTGCAGGTGTGCTTGCCTCCCTGCACTGCTGATTGGAGAACTTCAGTAGTAGTGTTGATTAGACAGCAGATGCGGGCTAACCCCCCTCAGTTCCTTCTCTACTGCAGAGTCCCAGACAAGAACCCTGGAGTACAGGGAAGGAGGGTGGTTTGCGGAGCACCCATGGGGAACACATCTTGAAGAACCATAATTACTGCACAAAATGAGTAATTTCTCTGATTAGCGTCCGTATGGGTGCTCCACTGCAGGTAAATCCCGAGCACTATCCTTATTGGCGGGTTAGGACTTCGGAGTCGGGTCAGTTACAGATGACTCTACTGTGGCGCTGAAAATGGCATAGGAGGTGGAGTCTCCAGTGATCGTGTAGTGTTCTGTGGAAGTGTGGACTGATGCCCATGTTGCTGCTCTACAGATTTCTGAGATAGGATGTTCTTGAAGAAGGTGATGGGTGAGGAGATCGACCTTGTGGAGGGCATGCGAATAGTATCTGGAGGGGTCATATTACAAGGTTGATAACACCGTCTAATCCAGTTTGACACCCACGTGGAGAGTCTCTGGACTGAGCCCTTGGACCTCTCCGCAACAGCAAGGAAAAGTCTAAAAGACATCCTGAAAACCTTCATCCTATCCAGGTAGAAGGCTAGGGCTCTTCTGAGGTCTAGCATGTATAATATAGCCTCCCTGTTGTCTCAATGAGGTTTGGTATAAAAGGTTGGAAGCTGAATCAGTTGATTCATGTGAAGTGTGGTGGTGAACTCATGATTAACTCAAAAAAATGTAATGCCTTTAAAAAAATTAATTGCAATTAATCACACTGTTAAGCAATAGAATACCAAGTAAAAAGAAGAACAGGAGTACTTGTGGCACCTTAGAGACTAACAAATTTATTAGAGCATAAGCTTTCGTACAGCAGCATATGCATCCGAAGAAGTCGGCTGTAATCATCACAGCCTAAAGTTCTAATAAATTTGTTAGTCTCTAAGGTGCCACAAGTACTCCTGTTCTTCTTTTTGCGGATACAGACTAACACGGCTGCTCCTCTGAAAC